CACTTATTGGCATGAAGTTGTTTATAATATTGACCAAGCATCCCGCCATATTTGTAGGATCTATGGTGACATCTCCTCTTTCATTTCTGATATAGGTCATTTGTGTTGACTTCTTTTTTTTTAAAGATTTTTTTTTCTTTATTGGGGAATTGGGGGTCTGGGAACAGTGCTGGGGAATTGGGCGAAGGGAACAGACAAGTTGCTGTCCTTTTGTTCTTCAGTCTAGTTGTGGAGGACGTTGCTTCACTGGCCCAAGTTGGCACCATCATTGCGCTCTTCCCGGGTGAGGCAGGTCAGTCCCCGGCTTCTGGACGGTTGCTCACTGCGGCTGCTGGCCGCTCACGCTGACTGCTGGCTACATACGGTAGCCCAGGGCAACCCACTGCAGCAGGGGTTGCAGCCTATGCCGTCGCTGGCGACTCACAGCAGCCCAGCTCCAGGTTGAGCTGTTGTTCAGCATCTTAGCTGTAGAGGGCAGTGTCACTGGCCCTCATATGTGGGATCTGAACCGGGACCCTCTGGCATCCCAAGCCAGTTCTTAACCATCGCGCCACTCGGCCGGCCCTGTGTTGACTTCTTAATTGATTATTCTTGCTAGACATTTATCAGTTTTAGATATCTTTTCAAAGATCCAACTTTTGACTTTGCTTATTTTCTCTAACTTTTGTCCATTTTCTACTTCATTTCCTCTCTTATTTGTACTATTTCCTCTCATCTTCCAAATTTGGCTTTAATTTGCTCTTCTTTTTCTGCCATCTTAAGATGGAAGGTGCACAGTGCAGTCGTGGAGCAGCTATACAATTACATTCAGAGTTGTAACTCATCGACCGAGAGATAAGTTGCAAGGGAACTTTAAAAATATTCAAAATAAAAGAAGGCAGGAAAGAGAGAACAGATGAACAAAACCCCAGGGAAACAAGCAGAAAACGAATAATAAAGTGGTAGCTATAAGTCCAACCATAGTGTCATTACACATTTGCCAAAGCCCATGGAATGTACAACATCGAGCGACCCTGATGTAAATATGGACTGAGGATGACAGCGATGTGTCTGTGTGGGCTCATCGATGTAACAGACATGCCATTCTAGGGCAGGCTCTGCTTGTGTGGGGGTGAGGTGTGGATGGGAACTCTCTTACTTCCTGCTCAGAGGGAAAAGTAGAAAATAAAAAAATGGTAGACCTAAGTCTAACCATAGTGGTAATTACATTAAATGTCAGTGGACTAAACCCTTTAATTAGAATGCATCCATTTTTAATTCTGTGGTTCTTGTTGTTTTTTTGTCCTAAGAAAGCTCTGCCTTGGCCTCATGGTGATAACAATTTCCTGTGTTTGCTTCTAGAAGTTCTATGGTTTTGGCTTTTACATTTTGAGTTGTTAAAAAACACTTTCCTTTTCCCATTGAATTATCTTGGCATCTTTATTGAAAATCAGATGAGCACATATGTGTGGGTCTGTTTCTGAAGTTTCTGTTCTGCTCCATTCATTTCATGTCCTTCCTTCATCAGTACCACACTGTCTTGATTACTGAAGCTTTATAGAAAGTTTGAATTCATGTAGTATAAGCCCTGCTTTCTTAGGACACAAAAAGCAAGAACCATAAAAGAAAAAAACTGGATGCATTCCATTTTACCATAATGAGAACATTTACTCTTCTAGAGATTCCCATAAGAAAATGAAAAGGGAAGCCACAGAATGGGAGAAAATCCTTGTAATACACGCATCTAACAAAGAATGTATACAGAGCGCAACCACAGAAAGACAACCCAGTTAAACAAAATAGACAAGGGATGGGCACAGACCCCTCACAAGAGTACGTGAGAAGATATAGACAAGACCAATGAACATGAAAGGTGCTGACCATCATCAATTAAGAGGGAGACGCAAGTTTACACAGCAAGGAGGGTGCCACTGTACACCCACTGATACGCTGCCAAGTGCTGGCACACATGTGACACAAATGACCCCTTATATACTGCTGGTGGGGACACACACGGTGTCAGCATGGTGGCAAACAGACCAGCAGATTCTCACAAGGTTAAATGTGCACTTACAAGGTCAGACAATTAAGTTTGCGAACTCATCCTAGAAAAAGTGCTATGTACCTCACTGCTGAATATCACTACAGTCACCTTCGAAGTACTCCCCTTGGGAAGCTATGCACTGCTGCCAGCTCCTAGTCCACCCTTCAAAGCAATTTAGGAACTTTCTGGAATGGCCATCAGAGCTATCATCGTATTACCCTTGATGTCCTGAATGTCATCAAAATGTCTTCCTTTCAATATTTCCTTTATCTTCAGGTAAAGAAAGAGGTCATTGGAGGCCAGCTCAGGTGAGTAGGGAGGGTGTTCCAATATGGTTATTTGTTTACTAGCTAAAAACTCCCTCACAGACAGTGCCGTGTGAGCTGGTGCATTGTCGTGATGCAAGAGCCATGAATTGTTGGCCAAAAGTTCAGGCCGTCTAACTTTTTCACGCAGCCTTTTCAGCACTTCCAAATAGTAAACTTGGTTAACAACTTGGTACAAATTCATAATGAATAATCCCTCTGATATCAAAAAAGTTTAACAACATCGTTGTAACAAGTTGGCAAACTTAATTGTAAGATCTTGTACTTACCTTGACCTGGTCATTCCAGCCTAGGTATTTACCAGGAGAAATGAAAACACATATCCATACAAAGATGTGGAGGAGAACGTCCATAGCAGCCTAGTCATGGTCACCAAAATCGGGAAGCAGCCCAGCTGCCTGTCAGCAGGTGCATGGGTGAAGGGCAGGCTGCATGTCCTCACGATGGAGTACCGTTTGGCCATGAAATGGAACGACGCAGAGACGAATCTAGGAGCATTGTGCGGCAGGAAGGAGCAGAGGCAGCACGTGCTGTGTCCCTCTGACGGAACTCTAGAAAATGCCAGCTCCTGCAGCAATGGGTCAGCCCTGTGGCCCCCTGACCGGGGGTAGAGAGAGGGGCTGCAGGGGGCGCAGGAGCCTTCTGCGGCCGTGCGGGTGGTGGAGGTGGTGGAGGTGGTACAAGCGCAATGTGGACGGCAGAGGCAGCTCCAGCGGTGGGAGTGGTGCAGACGGTGGAGGCTCCCAACTCCCCGGGATGTGCGCTTTGAACAGGTGTAGTTCATTGTGTGTCAATTACACCTCCCTAAGGCTGACCAACAGCAGATGAAAGTGGATCAGAATCTTGGACTTTGATTCCTGAATTGAAATGGTGTTTGGTGACTTAGTGTGACCCTGGGGGTGCCTCTTACCAGACAGTGAGCAGAAGCAACTGTGACTTCTGGACTTTTCCATGAGGCAGGGAAAGGTGGTCTTGCTGAACAACAGTTAAGTGGACCAGAAGCAAAGGTGGCATTGGGTCACGTCCCGTAGGCAAGGCGTCAGCACTGTGACATCGATAGCTGCTATCTATCTAAAGGGACTTCACATCATAGAAAGGCGGTGGTGCCTCTGGCAAAAGCATGCGTTTTTAATGAGATGGCATGAGTTAGGGTGGGAAGGGGCGCCTAACGGCTGGCGCCTCCTCATCATAGGCTCCCCTCGACTGAGCCTAGCCTAGTGAAAGCAGATTACAGGACAGACGCCCAGCGCCCTTGTCCCGATAGCACTGGCTCAGGAGTGTCACCCGACTTCACCGTCTCCCTGCTGGAGGAGGTTGGCTGGGCAGTGGCGCTCTTCCCTAGGCCCTTCCAGGCTGGAACTCTTGTTCTCTGGCCTTTTGAGGGGGCCATGCCTCACCCCCACCTCAGAGGGGAGCAGGGGCAGTTCCTCTCCAGGAACCTGAAACCTCTGCGTGGTCTCGACTCTGCAGCTGTTTTTGTCAAGTGAAAGGTCTTTTGAGGGCCAGCCGAGTGGCACATTGGTTAGGAGTTGGCTTGGGACGCCAGCCCCGGTTCGGATCCCACATGAGGGCCAGTGATGCTGCGCCCTCTACAGCTAAGATGGTGAACAACAGCTGCCATGAGTCGCCGGCGACGGCGTAGGCTGCAGTGGGGCTGGTTGGCAGCAGGTGTGTGCTTTCGTGAGCTGCCGTTGAGCCACCGTAAGTGGCTGTCCAATGGCTGGCGAGCGACTGCCTCAGCCGGGAAAAGCGCAAGGATACCAACATGGGCCAGTGAAGCGACGTCCTCCACAACTAGACTGAAGAACAGAAGGACAGCAACTTGTCTGTTCCCCTTTCCCAATTCCCCAAAGCTGTTCCCTCCCCCAATTCCCCAATAAAATCTTTAAAAAAATAAAAAAACAACAACAAGGTCTTTTGACAGGCGACTGTTATATGTCAAAATATTTAGCTGTGTTTGGGAAAGATTGTAACTATGGTTACCCCTTGCAAGTTAATAGAAATCTGTTAAAACCGTGCCTAACGATTTACAGTGGGGCTGTGCACATTCCTGTGGTTGTATAACGGCTCAGGCACAGGAGCGCACGCAGTCACCTGCTTTGGTGCTGGGAACGTCTCTCACAGGCTGGTCTGTTGCCTGTCTGTGCTGCTCTCCACTTCTCAGAAGTTTTTCTGCTCTGCCATGACCCTCTTATACACTGATTTTTATCGCCCTAAATGGGTATCTTTCATGCACTCTTGTGACGAAAGTGGGGTGAGCAGCAGAAACCCTGCCTGGCCTGTGTCTGCCCCAGAGGCACCCTCACCACCTCTCAGGGTGAAGATGCCTGAGAGATACGAGTTAGGGTTTTGCTAAGACAGAATGAGGAGACAGGCGGCCAAGCCCATCAAACTCATGTGTAGGAATGGCTCATCCAGACCTGAGTTCGGTCCTTCCTTAAGGAAGCGGTGCGTGGCTGAAGCTGTTGGAGGAAGGACTGAGTCCGGCTGGAGCCCAGATACAGATGGCCGACCATGGCCGTCCGGTCCTCTGCCATGGCAGCTTCCTATGGGAAGTCCGGTCAGACCCAGAGCACCAGAGGCCGGGGCCCTCACCTGGTTTGGCTGTGCAGTGACCAGCCGCTGGCCTCATCTGGCACCTTGGTTTGCAGGCCTCTGACCGGTGGGACGCAGGCCGTGCGACTCTTGGCCACTGATCGCTGGATGTCTGCAGCCCGTGTCCTGGAGGGCCAGGTCAGGGCGCCCAGCCTGGAGCCGGCAGGGCCATGGAGGTGGGGCGGTGGGGGGGAGGGGGGCTGGGCCGAGACGGTGGGGCTGGCAAGGCCGGGGCCCTGGAGACGGGTCCGGTGAGGCGCCCCGACACCTCACAGTGCCCCTCTCTGTTGCAGACCCTGCACTCCGGAACATGACACTCCAGGGAGCTGTCCTCCTGGCCGGCCTTCTGGTGGAAGTTGCCGGCAAATCCTCAGAAAGTGCGGTAGGTGCCAGGAAGTAAAGTCTGAGCCCTTGTTCCAGCCCTGCACAGAGGTGGGGCCTTCACCCAGCGGGTCTCACCCTCCACCTTCAGAGGTCACCCCTGCCTGGCCCCAGAGACACTGACTGAGCCCACGGTTAGGGTCAGAGGGACCTGTGCCTCTCAGAGGGCAGCAAACTCGAGGCCCCGCCACTGACTCTTGCTGTTCTGCCTGCTAGAACCTTCAGTCTTTGCCAAACTGGACCTGTCGTATAGCTGAAATAGGGTCTCTACAGAACCGCCCCCAGTGGTACTGACCAGAGCCCAGAGCTGCCTGCCCAGCTGCTGGGGTGGACAGATCATGCACTGCAGGCGAGCAGCGGTATCAGGCAGGGTCCCCACAGGCCGCCGGTGGCAGGGGTCCTGGCTCTCCCAAGCCTGTGACATGGATGGGCTGAGCTGTGGTTTCTGGAGGGACCTTCACATCGTCCAAGCCAGGCGGGGCCGTCCCACCTCTCTGCCTCCACCGGGATTGGGAAGGACAGGATGGCTTGGCCTCCACTGTGAGCTGGCCCTTGGCCCCTCCCGTGGTGGTGTGGGTGTTCCTGCCATTCCTCCGTCACCCCTTAGGTGTCCCCCACTGTTCCCTGTGTTCCGGTCACAAGGAACAGAAGCTCAGCCGTGACAAACACATGGAGCCAAGATCCCCTGGGAACCCCCCTCAGCCCATCCAGCTGTCTGTCCAGCCCCATGAATGCTAGCACTGGGCACCCCCACTGCTGCTCATCCCCAGTGATGCTGCCCCAGGCCAGGCAGCGCCTCTGTGGGGACCAGGCTGCACAGCCCCAAGGGAAGGGTGTCGTTGTGGAGTGGTCTGCCTGTGCTGGCGGATGTAGGGCAGACACACCCGCGCTGGCCGCCTAGCTCTCACCAGGGAGGCCACGGGGCCTGGGTTTATCTTCACATTTTATCGTAGTTGAGACAAATGTCTTTCCTTTTCTCATGAAGGCACTGCAGTGGGGCTTAACAGCTTTGATTTTTTAATTTACAAAGCCACCATCTGTCACGTGGCAACAAATAATTTCATGGATTGAAATGCCCCCCCCATAGCCTGCCTGCGGCCCACAAGGCAAGTGGCCGTACCCACGTGGAGAAATGCCCATAGCCCCACCTCCTCCAGGCAGGCCTGGAGTGGTCAGCCAGGCAGGCAGTGGAGGAGATGTTCACGTAAACCACAGAGCGCCCGCAGACCGGGACGGGTCCCCAGGACAACTCCCTGCCCTACCAGGCTGTCCCCAACGGGCCCCCAAGGGGTTCCCCTTCCTGTACTTTGGGAGTCCGGGTGCTGGGGAATATGGTGGTTTATTCAGTCACCAGCGCTCGCTGGGGACACCAAGTTCTGTCCCAGGGAGCGTCCATACTGTGGGGCCCTGAGTCCTTTCCTCGTCCCAGTAAGCAGGGGACAGTCACCTAACACTGACCCTAGAAGAGGCCAGAACTCTACGCTCTCACGGTGCCTCCTCTGTGGACGCCACCCTCGGCCTGGCCTGTCCATCCTGCATTAGCCACCTGGCTGCGGGGTCTGGAAACTGACTGCCGTCTTCTCTCTAGGGCCAACTGTCCGAGTGCTGTGTGGACATGGTGGACATCAACACCACCTGCCCAGGCACAAGCCTGTGTGGCCCAGGTAAGTACTTTGGTGTGAGTGGACCTAGGCTGTCTTCTCGCTGCCCGTTCCCGTGGGGAGGGGAGGCACGCAGACCTCGCTGGAAGGATGCTGGAGGGCGACTAGAGGAGCGGGCGGAGCAGCCCGCCGAGCCTGCCTCCCAGCCTGGCCGCCCTTTCTGGGTGCTTGGGGCAGAACGTGGTGAGGAGACTGTGGCTCTGAGTAGCAGGAGGTGCAAGGAGGCAAGACGTTAGCTGTCCGCCCCAGGGAGCCCCAGCGGGGCCCGAGAACGGGGCTGACGTGAGACGTGAGCGGGAGAAGCCCGCAGGCCTGTGCAGGAGCCCTTGACACGGAGCCTCGTAAGGAAATGGAGACCCGAGCGGCAGGACCTACCCGCTCCTGACCTGAGGGCTGAGGGTGCCCGGCGCTGTTGACACGGTCTGTGCACAGCACCCTGGTCTCTCTCCCGCCTTGGCTGTGACTGTCCCTCTCCTCCTGGGACAGGGAGCGTGTTCCCCGCGGGGTTTTGTCTCCTGCCTTTCAGGAAGAAATAAAAGAGGTCAGAGTGCCCTTCCTGGACCTGCTGTGTTTTCACATGTCTTTAGTGAAAATCACCTTTATGTCAAATAGGCGCATTTGGGGGCAACGTGTTCTAGTTCCCTTCAGCCCCCCGTTTGAAACTTTACCTTCAGAGAGTCTCACATACTAAAAGCCAAGTTGGAGGCTGTAGTGGAACAAGTGGAAAGGGCCTGGCCTGAGTGCTCTGTCCTACGGGCACCGAGCCTGCCTGTTGGTGCCATTGGACGGTGGCATCTGGTGTCGGAAGAGAGGTATTTCTGTGGCGACAAAAGAAAAACAAAGTTAATGGTTGAAGCAAATTATAAACCCAATTTTTGGAGCGTGGAGAGCAGTCAGCTAAGAAAACTTCTGGATATTGGACTGAAGGCACCTTTGGCTGGAGTGAGGTCCGCAGCAGCTACCTGGGATGCATTTCCTGGTCTGCAGCTTGACTGTCTGTGCTGACAGCACTGGGGGTTCTCGTGGGCTTTTCAGTGGCTCTCATGGCAGCAGGCACACAAGTTGTCCCTGTCTGACCTGTCGAGGCGATTTCTCTGAAGTTCATGTCCAGTCATCCAGCCGCAGTTTGCAGGGCTGGGGTGCAGTGTTAGCTCTCGGTGGTTACAGATCAGAGCATGGGAGGAAGTTGGGACCTGAGCTTGGACGTCGTAGCCTGAGGTTGGGGTGGGCTGGAAGCACTTGACGCCGTGCCGTCCACCGGCAGGACTGGGTTGTAAGTTCCCCTGAAGCCTGAGCTTCCTCTGCAGTCACCCCTTCTTCCGAAGGTAAGTACAGAGAGACCGACGTGCCTTAGAAACAAGCCTCACGCACTGATTTACGGAGGAACAGCAAGATTTGGGAATGACTGCGTGACCCCTTTCAGTCTGGCTGGAGCTTTTCATAGGAATCTCAGAGTGGACTTCAAAAAGCTTCTCAAACCCATGTGGCTGCGGGTCCTGCTCGCAGCCCGCACCTGCCCAGCACACGCAGCCCGCCTGGGTGCCTCCTGGGAGGGTGGCTGTGTTGGCGCCAGGCCCGGTCCCAGGACTCCCAGAGCCGACCCTGGGCAGACACCAGTGCCTCCCCCACGGCCCCCCAAAGATGCTCCCCACCTGAGAAGAGAAACCCTGCTTTCATGAGGAACCAACTTCCAGAAGGCAGCAGGCTGGCGTGGGTTTGTGCTGAGCCACGTGGCAAGCTTGTCGCTGCCCTTCCACACAGGCTGCTACAGACGCTGGAATGAGGACGGGAGTGTCAGCTGCGTGCGCTGCAGGAACGGGACCTACAGCAGCTCCGAGTGCAAAAGTCATCTGTCATCACCCCCTCACCCCACTGGGCCCGTTCCTCACCGAGGGGCCACATCTCCGAGTTCTGCAGGACCAGGTGGGGGTCGCCTTTCTTGTCCCCAGAGCATCGGGCGCCCCCCCCCCCCAGAACCCTTGTGTCCCTGACTGTTGTCTGTTCAGGACAGCTATGGGGTGACAGCCACTCCATCTCTACTGTCACCCCTGTTCTGGGTTCTGGCCTGTGACTCCGCTTGGGGCTGCATCTCCAGCTCCCTGGGGGTCCTTGTGGGATCCCCGTTCACAGTGCAGGACCTTCCCATGGTCTGGGTGGCTCACGGAGCCTGCAGTACTGACAGTTCTGCTCCTACAGTCACTGGCCGAGGCGCACAGTTCCCCGTCAACAGGAGCACAGGGACACCTGGGCGGCCACACTTTGGTAAGTCTAGCTCAACAGCCCAGAGCAGGGCCATGTCCATGGTCAGGTACACTCCACCCCAGCCGTGAGCCCTGGTCACGGAGCAGGGCTAGTGGCGAGTCCGGCAGCCCTGGGGCTCGGGTCAGCTGGCATGGGCCAGAGGCCTTTGCCCCAGCCTCCGTGTGCCTCTGAACGGGTCTCAGTGGGGCCCTTACAGCCACTCACCACACCGTTTGCCTCCTTCCCAGCCCCCAAGCCCCTTGGTCCGCTTTGGTCCGCTCAGGACATGTGGTTCTGCAGAGATCAGAGGACAGCCTGAGGCCCCTGCCCCATCCCTGGGGCTCTTCCAGGGTGTAGGGCTCAGAGGAGACTGCAAATGCTGCGTGCCAGACACAGGGCCGCCATGCCTCCTGGTCCCCAGGGGCAGACTCAGGTCGCACTGCCTGGGCACCTCATCCCCAGCCTTCTGCTCTCTGCTGGGCGTCCCATCCTACCTGAGATGCCCGCCCAGCTGTGGGGCATGGTGCCCATGCTGCAGAGGGACCACTGCAGTCAGAGTGGGACCTGCCCTCTGCTGAGACAACTGGGTTGTGATGGGGGTCGTGTCCCCCCAGACCCTGGTCCTTTAGCACAGGACATGTTAAACCTGGATCGAGGGCTCAAGTTTCCCAGGAGTCTCAGGACCTGAGGCAGACGGCACCACACTGACCTGCAGCGGGGTCAGGGCGGGGGCGGCTCAGACAGCCCCGCCCTCTGACCAGGCTGGGCCCGGCATCAGGGCTGGCCCAGGAGGAAAGCCCGAGAGTCTGGCTGCCTGGCTGCTGAAGTGTTTCCATCGCAGCACATCGGGGACAGGACACGCCTCAGCTGGAGCACACCCCTCCTCTTAGCCATGTGCCGGTGTCTCGGTCAGAAAGTCGCCTCCCCACAGCTGTCGAGAGCCCTGCTCACAGCCCTATCCAGACCCCGTAAAGGTGGCTGGTGCCGTGCACTGGGAAGGCCCCTCTGGGTGACAGCAGACAAGCTCCCAAGAGGCAAGGGTGTGGGGAAGCCCTGCCTCTGGGGTGACCCTGCATTCTGGGGCCTGGGGCCCCATCTGTGCTGAGTCTTGAGGGAGCAGGGGAGCCAGGGCTGCTGCTCTCAGGCCGGAGTCCTTAACCCGCCCCACATCCCACCTCCCCGAGAAGCCTGAGGCCTGGAGTGATCCAGTCACGTTTCCAGGCCACACCGCCCGCCCAGCGTGGCTGGGCCTGTGGGGGACCCAGGTGTGCTCAGGGACGGGCCTCCACGGCCGCCAGGCCCAGCCACAGAGCTGCCCTTACTTGCAGGGGGCCCTGGAGTGGCAGCCTCCCTCTTCGTGGGAACGTTCCTGGTCAGCTCGGGCCTCATCCTCACTGTCGCCATGTTCTTCTACCTCAAGCGTGCCAGCAAATTGCCCCAGCTCTGCTACGGAACAAACAAAGGTACCTCTTCATGCTGCCGGGGGACAGACGTGGCTGTGCTGGGGGGCCGAGATGCAGGGTGTCCAGCACGAAGCCGCCTTGAGAACACACCAAAGGGGACTGGGTTGTCACATGTTCTTGCGTCTGAGACTAAGAGCGGCAGTCACGTCCCAGGAGTGGTCCCAGAGGGTCTCTAAGGGCACTGGTGTGACTCCACGCCCTGGGCCATCACGGCGGGGTTGGCGATGGGAGCAGGTCTTGGGGCTACTGGCCCGCAGCTCTCCCTCCAGCCATGTCCTCTCCCTGCCCAGGCTGGTGCAAGGACAGGGGGCTGCACACCACCCAGCTTACCCTGGGCCAGGACACTGGCCCTGCCTTCTTCCTGAAGAGATGGGCACGCCTGCTGTGCCCCTCAGGTGTGCCAGGCAGGTGGTCTGGCCAACGAATATGACTCCTCAGTGGACAGTGCCAGTGGGGGATTAGCCAGAGCCCTGCCCGCCACCCTCAGCCACTGCTGGGCACCTCAGAGCTGCTGTAGCCCTCTGGTCTTGAGAGTCGGCTGGCCCCGTGCTGCCCACCACGACAGGGCCTTCGGGGTCAGCTGTGCAGTGGTGGGCATGGGGTCCTGGTGTGTGTGTGGTGTGGGGCCCAGTCAGTGTCTCAGCAGAGCTGGGCTTGGTCAGCCTGGGTAGCCATGGCCCAGGGACATGTCAGGGCAGCGGGGGCATGGCCACACATCCCCAGTGGAGGCGGGGTGGTCCCCTGAGGCTCCTGGGAATTCAGCAGGTAGAGCAGTTGGTTCGCGGAGCACTGGGGCCAAAAGAAATCCCGTCGGGACTGGCCTGCCTGCTCTGCCTGGAGTGGGAGGTAGGGCCTGGGGCCGGTGCCGCCGGGAAAGCAGCCAGGCCAGTGTCCAGCCTGAAGGCATTGCTGGGCGAACCTGTGGGGGTGGGACTGGGCTGGGCCTGGGGCCTGGGAAGAACCTCTGCGAGCCCCACAGACCCCACCTCAGGCTGAGAGACCCCCCCCCCGGACTGAGGGACCCCACCCTGGGCTAAGGGATCCTCAAGCTGAGGGACCCCCACCGACCCCGGGCTTAGGGATGCCCCCAGACTGAGGGACCCTGCTCCAGGGGGAGGTAGCTGCATGGCCTCCAGATGACCCCTGTGCTTGTCCCCACAGCCCCGGCCCTGCAGCCTGGTGAAGCCGTAAGTAACTTGGGCTGCCTGGCGTCCTCGTGTGGTGTGCCTGTGTCTGTGCCTCTGTGCGGTGGCACCCGCCGGTCTCACTGTGCCTTCTCTCCTTTTCAAGGCCGCCATGATTCCCCCACCACCGTCCTCAGGTACGTCGGCTCTTACAGTTCCTTGCCCCTAGGAGTCGCTTGTCTCTGGGCGAGAATTTCGAATGCCAGACCTGTCTGTGGAATCAGCTGCCCCCCAGGGGCTGCTGCAGGAGCGGCGGGGGCTCGATGGCCTCTGGCCCCACAGCTCCCACCCCTAGCTGCTCAGGATTCCAGCCACGTCCCCCTTAATTAGCCACGGCTTTCCGGCCTCCCTTCTGTTTCTGAGACGTTGAGTCTGTTGGAAGAGGACGAGAATTCCTGGCACAGGGCCCAGGGTCACCCCTGGCGCCGGCTTGGGGAGCAGGTCAGCTGGGCACCGGGAACTCCCGCGGCCCCTCCTTTAGTTTCGCTGGGTCAAGCGTGTCCTGCACCAGGTGGTTCCAGGTGGTGTGGGCCCAGCGACGCCGTGAGCAGAGCGGTCACACAGCTGCAGGCCACAGAGCCTTCACTGGGCTCTCCCCAGTCCGTGTTCTTGCACCTGTGCTGAGAGGTCTGGCGTGGGGACAGGGGAGGCCAGCGCTCTTGGGGACCAGAAGTTAGGTGGTCAGCTGGGTCTGCTCTGCTCCCTGAGACACCCGTGTGCTTTCTAAAGCAGCCTGTCTGCAGCATCTTGCATTTAACTTCCCTGCATGCATCCTGTAGGGCCACCAAGCAAACGCCCCAGCCTGGGTGGCTTGCAACAGCAGAAATGTGTGCTCACAGCTGAGGAGGCAGAGTCAGAAATGGAGGTGGGGTGGGGGTGCCCCCTCCGGGGGCCCTGGGGGAGGGTCCTTCCTGCCTGTCCAAGCCTTAAGGGCTCTGGGCGTCCCTGGGCTGGTGGCCACGTCCCTCCAGCTTCTGCCCCCTCTTCACGTGGCTTCCGCCCTGTGTCTGCTCTGTTCCTCTGCCTCCCTCTTATGAAGACACTGGTCACTGGACTTAGGGCCCCCAGATAACCCAGGAGGACCCCATCTCAAGATCCTTAACTTAGTCACATCTGCAAAGACCCTTTTCCCAAGTGAGGTCACATCTGCAGGTTCCGGGGCTTAGGGTGTGAGCACACGTTTTGGGGTCCCCATCCAGCTCTACAGTGCATCCATGACTTGTGGCTCTGTGTTCCGGGCATGCCAAGCCCTGCCCAGGTGCTTGGGGCACAGGGTCCATGCGCTTTATCATGCAGCCACTCACTCAGCGGCGGGAGCTCAGCAGGGTCTCCCCCAGCTGGCGACCCCACAGCCTGCTGCCCAGAGCTCTGGCAGGTCGGCCCGCCATCCCAGGCCGGCTCTGACCTGCCCGTCTCCGATCCGTTTCAGTGCGGAAGCCACGCTACGTCAGGCGCGAGAGGCCCTCAGACAGGGGCATGGGCCCCACGTCTGTCTCCTCGGTGGAAACCCGGGTCAGCAATGTCTGACCCTGAGGCCCCCCACTGCGCACACCGCCAGGGAGGGAGCCCAGCACAGAGTGCAGCTGCCCGGCTCAGCTCTCGTCCCAGTGACAGACGCCTGGGGACGCTGCCTGCCTGCCCTCCCACAGCTGCTGACCAGGAGCAGATGCCCCGAGTCGGCGGGGGCAAGGCTGTGAGGGTCTGGGCGCCCTGGAGGGATCGTGAACTCCCTGCAGTCAACCACCTGCAGTGCCCAGGGCCAGACAGCCCCCAGCACCCCTCCAAGAGGAGTGAAGCCTCGGGGTGTCCCACCTGGTGTCCAGACGGGTGGGGGACGGCCTGGGCACTGGCCCCTGAGGCTGAGGTGCCCACAGGGCTGTCCTGCTCTGGCTGGGACTCCCAAGCCATGACCACTCGTGTCCAGGGGCTGGTCTCCTACTGACTGCTGTCTGTTTGTAGTGGAAATGCATTTTATACAAGAGTCTCAGAGCCACCGCTGTCCTCGTCTGCTTCCCACACGTGGGCCCCGGCGCTGCGTGGCCTCGTCCACCCAGGGTCACGCTCACCTACGACGGCTGCCTGGTCGGTCTGGTCCTGCCTGACCAGCGGAGGGCCATGGGGTCAGCAGTCTGGTCTCAGCAGGTCCCTGTGGAGAAAGGAGCATACAAAGCCACCTCCTGTGCCCTGGACTCAGCGCTGGCTGTCCCCACACCCTTGACCATCATCCACTTTTTCTCCTTCAGTGTCTGGTCCGTGTCCAGGCGCCTGAGGTGGGGCCTGTGGTCGGCCTCCCGTGTCGTCCTGGGCGGCGAGGCCCGGCTCGGGTGCTGACAGTTTATAGATTCAAGCTTGTTCCTCGAGACCCGAACCAGTGTCTCAGCCGGCAGCGGAGAGCAGGGAGCCAGCTTGAAATCAGTGTCAAATAAACTGTTCAGGGCTTTCTCTTCCCCTCCTCACCTCTCCAAGTTTATCTGTTCCCAAGTGAGGGTGCTGCCCCACACTGGGGACGGGAGGACGGGGGTGGAGAAGTGGGGAGCCCTGAGCAAGGACCAGGACCTCCCCCCGACCCAAGAGCTGTGCTGGTTCCCGCACACAGCCTCCACCGTTCAGGATGTTATTCCTGGGAGAAGGGGGCTTGCCCCACGCTGCCTTACGCGAGGGTAACTCAGTGACCCCCAGCGCTGTCAGGATCTGAGATGGGAAAAAGTGTGGGTGTTTCTTAGGGGGACTTCTCTGTAAGACGACCAGGTCTAATGGGGAGCGTGGTGGTCACAGGTGACCACAGGCCCCCCCCCCGCACAGACAGGACACCCGTGAGGCAGGGCGGCCGCCGTGAGACCCAGCTCTGTCCCCAGGAGGAAGTCGGGCACAGTGCCAGCTAGTCAGGTCCTCCAAGACGAGGGCAGATGGCTCTTTGGAGGGGCTGGTGAGCATGGGGACATTTGCTGACCAGTGGTGGGATGGCCAAGCGGGGTCCAGGGCTTCCTACCTGAATGCCCAGGCCAGAGCCGGCCAGGACCAAGCTGTAGTAGGACAGCCCCACCCAGGGAGAGCAGGGGGCCTCTCCTGTTCCTGGCTATTTGACCATTGTCACCTTGATGGCGTGGCCCTAGACGCCTACTCACCTGCCCCTGGGAGGGCCCACTCTGAGGTGTACGGCCATCAGGGCACCTGTGGGAGCATCCGCTCTTCCCTGGGCCTGGGCTCCCGCCAGGCCATGAGGGGCAGGGGCCGTGTCCGCACACAGGGAACTGCAGGAAGGCTCCGAGGCATTGTCCTCTGCTCTGGGGACAGCCGCTCTGGCAATTGCCTGCCTCCACAGCCAACAGCCTCCCCAGGGCTCGGCCACGGCAGGGAGGGAGGCTGCTCCCAGGTCCGCCTGGCCAGACACTCAGTGACCTCCTGGTAGTCAACACAAGGTGGGGTCCCCAGTACAGGTTCTGACAGACATGGGGAGGAAGGGTGTTGGCAGCAGCACCGGGGCCCTGCCCACCTTCATGCCCCCACAGGCAGCCCCAGCTGGACTTTTCCACTTCAGCAAGGACAGAGCCTGGGGGCCTGGGCTGTGCCCCTGTGGGCTCTGCTGCTCTCTCCTGGGCCCCCTTTGCATGAGAAGGGGACCCAGACAGAGGTAGGGAGACCTGGGTCAGGGTCCCTACTGGCTTCAGGGACCACAGGGAAAAGAGAGGACGCCCACAGCCAGTGTGTGCATGGCCCCCGAAGTCAGGAGAGCCCTCCAGTCCCCCGGGTCCCTGAGGAGGGGAAGCAGACGAGGCTTGCGTCCTCTGCTCCCATGTTGGCACCCAGCCAGGTCTCTAACTGGGGGACAAGCAGGAAACGGCTATGTTCAACCAGGACAGCTAGTCGGGCCCTGGAGGCCCAGGCCAGGCGCCGATGGGGGCACGCCCCCAACTCCTTCCCACCTCAGTGCCACCCTGAAGCCCAGGGCCACTTTGGCCAGCTCCACATGGCTCCCCCAGGCCACCCTGCAGGTTCTGCCCGCCCCCCACAGCAGCGAGGACCTTTCATCCCAGCCTGCAGCCCCCACACTCAGAATGCTCTCCTCCTGACCTTCGAGGCCTGTGTGGCCTGGCCCCTCGGGCTCCCAGCCACGCTGGCCCCCCTCTACCCCAGGGCCCCCACAGTGGGGTGGGATTGCTGGGGTCACCAACCCCAACCTTGATGGGCATCCAGGCCAGAAAGCAGGTGGGTGGGGCACCCGAGTTGGGGGTGGGGCAGCTGGCGGGGCGGGGCGTTTGCAGTGGGGGCCTGCACAGCTCTCCCCCGTTTCTGTCCATCCTGAGCCCCTTGCCCAGCGCTTACCTAGACCCCAGGGCCTCACATAAGAGGCCAAAATGAGGTCAATTTGTAGTGTCATCAGGCCCAAGCAGGCAGGTGGGGCACCTGTACCCTCCTGACCCCCCACCATGGGGGGGGTCTTAAGGGGGCTGTGTTGCCCTACCACGTCCCAGGAGGGTGGGCAGTGGGCACAGCCCTGGGGGCACAGCTACAGCTCATCCATCCATCCATCCACCATCCATCCACCATCCATCCATCCATCCATCCATCC